ATGATGGTAGAGAGATACTGTCTTTGAAAGAGATGTGTAAATATCCTTGGAGGTAGAAAGACTTTTATATGAGCACCAAAATGATACTTTCTCCTGCCATTTCTCTTGAAATAAACAGAAGCTAAGTTTATATGTACATATTATTATGAATGAAAATATTTCTAAAATTAAAAACCCTACCTAACACACAAAAAACCCTTATAAGATATCAAATCTTACTATTGAAATTTTAGAAGTATTCCTAGTAAAGTCATAAACATGAAATTCAGTACCTCAAGTGAGCCCTTAATGCTGCCTAACAATCACGCTATGTTTCCCTAATCTTTTCTATTCTGCTCCATTTACTTTCTCACTCTCTGACAGGTGATGTCATAGTTCCCCCTCTTTTCAAATGTCCAATACGCACGCCCATTCTTCCTTTCTCAGCTAAAGATCTTTCCTCCCCACATTCTAAGCTAAAGAGAAACACTCAGATGAGAACTTCCTCACGCCACCACCATGATGTCTGTCCATAAGTTCTGTCTTCTCTCCCTTTTCTAAACCCCTCCCTACTCCTAATATAGCAAAGGCTAATCCTTTCACTGCGCATAGATCAAGGGTCAGCACACTGCCACCCACACTGTCTGTGGTGGTTGTTTTCATACTATGGAAGCAAATCTGAATAGTCCTAACGGACTGTATTGCCCACAAACCAAAAAATACTTACTGTCCAGCCTTTCAAAAAAGATGTGCTGATCCCTACACTAGAACATCTCTCCTCTCTGCTTCAAAGGGCCCAAAAAAATCCCAAACATAAGGTATGTAGAGAGATCCATACAGGACACACACAACAGGAACTTATCAGCTACACTGAAGGCGAAGAAAATATCTTAACACGAACAGGTCACACATAAAGGACAAAGGATGACAACTGAAATTTAGGAATAAGACCTTTCAAGAACCACTTGAAACTAGAAAAGTAAAGCCAATCCTTTAAATTCTGAAGAAAAATAATTTTCATCTGAGGTCTATATCCAAACCAAGCTATCAAACAGGTGTCAGGGGAGAAGATATTTTCAGCAACACAAATATCTCAAAAATGTCACCTTCTCATTTACTCTTTCTTGAAAGTTACTGAGGGATGCATTTCACTAAAACAAAGGTGTAAATTGAGAAAGAGGAAGGCATGAATCCAGAGACCACAGGCCCCAACACAGGAAAAAGGCAGAGAAGTCTCAGAATTGTGATGAAAGGAAGTCACAAGCTAAAGCTGTGCAGAAAGAAGAGCCACAATGCAGATGTGAGCAAGAAGTTATGAGAGCCCAAGGATTTTTCCAATTTTTTTAAAAAAATCAAAAGATTTATTACCTGATAAGTTTTAAAATTGGAGACAAATGGGAAGCTAAGTAAAAATCAAAAAAGAAAAAAAATTAACTCCAAGAAATACAATAGCATACTGCAAAGTTTGATGATAAACATATTTACAGTCATAATCGTACAATGACTTTAACCAAAAGCATAATATAACCACATGGGAGGATAAAAGGAAAGGAAGTTCAAGGCGACATAAGAACCCTAAAGCATAGATTCATCTACATTAGGAAATCAAAAGATAACATCTAAAATTGAAAAATATTACTTTGAGGGATGGAACTAAATATAAGAAACAGCTTAAAGTATCAAAAAATGTATCTGTTCCTATAGGAACAGAACTGAGAGGGGAAAAGTTATTACAAAGATGAAGCAGGGGACTGGTGATTTCATCGTAAGTCTTACACTGCAATTTTCTTTTGAACGCACAGTTGTATTAATCAAAAATTAGCCTTTAAAAACAAATGAAACTATAGTGGTTTTCACATAATTTATTACCTTTAATTCACCAATTCCACAAATATTATCTGGGTTCCAACTATGTGTCAGGTTTTTTTCTAGGTGCTAGGAATATACAGTGAAAAAAATTCGGTTCTTGCCTTCGTGAAGTTATATCCAGAGAAAATAGACAACTAATTAATGTATGCTATGTCAGATAAATTAATGTTGGGAAGAAAAATAAAGTGAAAGCAGAATATGATGGGAATTTTATTTAGGTAGGGTTTTCAGAAAATGGCTAAGGATCAGGAAGAAAGAAATAACCTAAAAAGGAATATTTGTTTAGAGATAAAGGACATGTAAATAATTAACAAAAATTAAGTTCAACATGAGAGATGCATTTTAAGCCTCTCATACTCTAAAGCAATGTATCATTCAAGAACCAATACCAAAAGTTGCCTGTCAGGCATTATTTTTCCGATAACCCTAACAGCCATTTCTTACTAAAGTGATTGGGTATTTTTATACTCAAAATTTTTTCCTTCTATAGACTAGGTAGATGTCACACATTTCAAATTCCATCATATAGCCAAATGTTTTTTCTAAATGAAAAGCTCAAGACATTAAGATTCCAAATTACTAAAATTTATCACACTTGATCCTCATCCTTGCCCTAAAAGAGAAACCCAAAACCAATTGGAATAAGACATTTAAAGAAACAACTTACAGTGTAATGCAAAAGACAGAACCTGAGACTATTTGAATTATCTTTGCATTGAGAATTGAGTATCTAAAAGAGACCATAGATTGAAGAAACAATTTTATTCCAAATACGGCTGTTACAGAATAAAATCCTCAAAAGTTGGTACTGATTTTAAGTCATACTGTCAAAGTACTGTACCACTGAAAGTAAACCCAAACTGTTTTTTATATAACGAAAAAAAAAAAATCAATACTCTTAGAGAAAGTTTTGTAATTTAACTCACCAAAAGAAAAATTCAATTAATTAAATTTCAATTAACAGTTGGGTTTAAAGTTTAAAAATTATTTAGAAAATTCTGGAAAAGCAGTAAAATAGCTGCTATGCTAAGCTGTTGCGGCAGATGTTAGGGTGTCCCCCACCCAGCTCTGTACTCCCTAACAGAGCACCAAGTCATAGTGAGAGCCACAAATTGGATTTGGGTTGGCTTACAGCTTATTTGTGGTGTGTTTAATAGATCCAATATGAGAAAAAAAAAAGCTACATGCAGTAATGGTTAATTATTGACAACTCCTATCAGTGGGAAGTACCAGAAATTTTAAGTATCAATGATACATTTTTTTAAAGTTGTAATCTGCAAACTACACTGATATTTGTCATTTTAACAAAAAAGAAAATTATCACTTTTTAAAAATTTGTTATTGAAGTACTATTGATTTATATCATTGTTAGTATTTTGGAAGTAGAGGATCTCCCCTCCCCTTCAGGTATAGTCACTGTACCATTGCATACCCACCACCCGAGGTCCTCCACCATACATACCACTGTGCTTTCTCCCCACCCTGTGCTTGCAAAACTATCACTTTTAGTCAAGTTTCTGATTTTAACAATAATGATTATCAGTCTATAACAGGACATAGGTCACTCACACAGAGTCAGAAAGAAAAAAGGTGATTTTTTTTTTTAAAGTAGATTGAGGGGGCCTCCCTGATGGAGTAAGGGGTTAAGATGCAGCAGTATGAAGCTATCCACAGCCACTGCAGTATAAGTTCGGTCCCCCAGCCAGGGAGGTGACCCACATGGTGCAGCAGACCTCTCCTGTCTCACCTGCTGCTCCCCTCAGCAGTGTATTTCAGTCAATCCTCCCGTTCTGTTCCCCACTCTGTCTCTGGTGAATCCTCTCACCCCCACCCCTGGGCTGTACCCCAGTTCTTGTATGGATGAATAAATAAATCTTAAAAAAAAAAGAAAGAAAAAATAGATTGGAAAAAAAAATACACTCCCTTTTGAGCAAGTGGCAAGAAAGAGTATTTTTAGCAACCATTTCATTAAACTATATAAACCTAAAGAACAAAGCTGTTTAACCACAGGTAAACTGTGTATCATCTGTCCTCAGGTAAGAACGTTTATTTTTGGTATACTTGGGAACCAGATACCCAATGTACATAAACATCAGCACATTTTTAAAACAATGGTCTTAATGCTTTTTGTTCACTCAGTAATAATTCCCACCATCTTAGGAGGTAAAATACAAGCAATGTCCTAAACCAAAAAAAACTCATCAGAGGAGTTTTTACTACTTAAACTTTTGAACTAACACTAAACAGTGTTATGTGACAGTGAAAGTAGGAGACAGGCTATTTGCCCATTTACTCTTTAAGCTCCAACAGGACACAGACTTGCCTATCTTTTTCCTTGTTGTATCCCCAACACCCTGGCAACTAATACTCAATAAATATGGTTAGAATGAATGAATGAATGAATGAGTGCACTAACTAAAGAACAGGACCACTGGACAAAAGTTTAAGTGTTTCAAGTTGCAACAGAACAATTTCACCAATACTATATATCCATCAATTACTACAAATAACTAGTGTCTCAACTGTAATGACAACATAAGCTGAAAAAGACAAGTACTGCCTATTTAAACACAGCACAGATACATTACTTACATATGTAATGAAAGTATGCAAAATAAAGATGCACAAGGTCAGTTTTTTAGTTATTATTTTCCACACACACAGTCAAAAGGAAAAGAGGTGAACACAAGGAAAAATATATGTCAGAAAACTATGTTGCAATCTTTGTATCACACCACCAAGAGAGTTTTCTTGCAATCTGGAATAATTTACGAAAAGTAAAAAATATTTCCAGAATCCCACCCAGAGTATTTTGAAAAGTCAAATTCCTCATCCTCAATGCAATGAAACATGGACTAAAATGGGGAAAAGGTAGATCTTACACCCTTTCGAATTATTCTTATTTTTTAAAAATTAAGTTTAAAATGAACCAATTACGCTGAAATGGTTGGCTTAAAAAGGCATCAAATGTTCTTACATTTGATCTTTAGCTCTACCTAATAAGACAAAGTACCTTCCAAATCTTTGAAGCTAGATGACAAAATTTATGCCCACGAAACTGGTGTTAGAGGTTATTTTTACTAGATCTTCTTCATAACTCGAAAGTCTGCAGCAAAATATTCAGCAGTAACAGTAACATACATTATACTTACAATTTACAGCACTCGTATAAGCATAATTATCTGGGTGGGTCAAGCGTCCAAACTATGACCTATGACTGTAATACCATGCATGCACAGATCGAGAAGTTCCCCAAAATTCTAGTGGTCAACTTCAAAGAGACATGAACAAGAGCCGATTTGATGAACAGGAAAACACCAAAATCAACCCAAACACTGATGGAAAAACAAAGCTCTCTACAGCAACTCCAGCGTTGAAATAAAAAATCCAGAGCACACAAAAGATAAGCTCAACTAATTACTGCCTGTGTGTTTCCTGCCTTATGGTCTTTACACCGGGTATTAGAATTTTTTTTTTTTTTTTTTTTTTGCTCCTTTCTTAAACAGAAATTTAGTGTTCCAATAGCCCTCCCTCCTCCACAGCTAACATCAGTGCCCTTTCTTCCTCCTCCCTCACCCCTCCCAGTTCAAACAAATTAACATTTGTACTAAGGTGCCTCCTATCAGCTCGCAGCTTCTTCCCAAACACGCCCACGTACACTGAAACTGGCCTGCGTCTACACAACACACAGCTTCAGGAAAAAAAGCCTCGAGGGGGGCAGATGGGGGGGCAATGTAGCTCCGCACAGGTTTGTGGCTATTTTCCAGATATTAGCGCCTTGCTGGTGGCTCGGGTTTCTCCCGAATCACCTCAAAGCCTGGTATTTAGGAGCCTACCCAGTCCGATACTGCACAGGAATTCCGGATATTTGCAGACAGATAGCCCCGCTTTGCAAGTGTTTTATCTGATCGGTCCAGAATCTCTCCTTTTTGCAACGCGCCCGCTCCCGGCGGTCCAACCCGCCCTCCAGTGGCCGCGCGGCCGGCTCCCCGCCCGCAGGACCAGCTCCTCCGGGGCCGCGGCTGGCAGGCGACTCGGGCTGCGGGGCGCTCCGCAACAGGTCACCCCGACCGCGAGCGCGCGGGGCCACGGGCGGCCAACTCGGTGGCCTGGCTCCGGGGCGCCGGCGGGGCCAGGGCCGGGCCAGGGCCAGGGGAGGGGGTGTGGCCCGGGGCGCGGACCCGGCTCCCGCTCACCTGGAGAGAGGCTGCGGCGCCCGCAGGGCAGGGCAGGGCAGGGCAGCGCAGGGCAGGGCAGGGCAGGGGGGCGCGGGCCAGGGTCTCCCTCCACTGGGGAGGGAGGGCGAGGCGAGGTGGCTCCCGGGGTCGCCGCGCCCCTGGCCTCGGGACCTGGCCCGGAGCGGGGACTTCACTGCAGTCGCCACACTTGGAGAGCGAGTCGCAGGAGGAGGCGCGGCCCGGGGCCCCCGGCGCGCTCCACACTCAGCCCGGGGCCCGCAGCCCCCTCCCCACGCCGCGGGCGAGCAGCCCCGGGGCCCGCGGCCGGGAGATCCGCGCACCGCAGCGCCGGGGCCGCCGCCATTCCCCGCGCCGCCGGCGCCGCGGCTCCTAGACGCCCGGGGGCGCCGCGCACCCACCTTCCCTCCCCAGCAGCGCCCACCCAGCGCCGCACCGGGCCCGCCGCCGGAGCACCGACCTGAGCAGCCGCGGCGGTGCCTCCGATGGGGAAGAGCCGACGCGGGCCTCTGGCTCCGCCGCCCCGCTGCCGCCGCCGCCTAAGCCAGCGCGGGGCGACCCGGGCGCTCGGCGTCTCTCATTCAGCGGCCGCCGCTCGGGGGAGGGGAGCGCGCCGGATCCACCCCGTGCGCGCCGGGGCTGGGGGAGGAGAGCGGGCCCGGCGGGGGCGCGCGCCGAGCGGGCGGGGCGGAGTCGCGCCCGCGCATCAACCGAGCGCGCTCGCGCGAGCCCGAGCGCAGAGGCCGGCAGGGTCCTCCCCGCGCGCGCCCGGCCCGCGGCTCCGCGGCCCCGCAGAGGCCAACTGCCGCCGGGGGTCCGTGCCCGCCGCGCGCGCCGCCGGCCGCTGCAGCCCCGCCGCGCGCTCGCCCGAGGGAGGGGCCGCTGCCGGCCCGGCCAGGGGGCGGGCGGGGAGGCAGACAGGTGGCGCGCCCGCCGCGCCTCCCCGCGCCCGGCCCGCCCCGGCGAGATTCACCGTGGGGTCTGTCGCCTTTGGCGCCCGCCCCTCACCTTTCAAGCCAGAGAACAAAGTCTGGAAAGACTTGGCCCCCAGATCAAATATCCTACCCGCGCCAGAGGTGTTGTTAGAAAGGGTGGAGGACCGCTCAGGGGGCTCCCAAAGTAAAGAGCCATCCCTCATTGAGGACCTTAAATTGTAGAGATCTGTAGTCCCACAAAATACTAACGTTAAGATTGGGGAACTGTTCGAAGTAGGACTTTGCAAGTGGTGTGCAGTCTTGCCCGTGGCATCAAGAGCAAATGATAAAAACGTGGCATCCCCTGAGTTCCAGAACAATTTTCATGTCAAGCCCCAACCAGATTATGGAATTATTAAATATTTCCTGTGAATGCAAAAGAAATGGTATGAATTTGGTATAAAGGATGGAAGGGTGTTGTGTCAGGGAGTGCGCTATATGGGGTGACCTACTTAAAATTAGCACCGTTTGATGCAGTGTGAGTGGCAGTGGAAGGTTATGCTGCCGTTAGATCATTTGGAAATAGACGATTATTTGATTACCTGCAGCTCTTTCTCTAGGCAAGGTGCAGTAGAATGTGGAAGGAATAGTGTGTATTAGCGTTGGATATAAAACCAGAAAGGACCAAAATTGTTCCCATTTGGTTTATTTCCTCCCTTTTATAACCACCAAATAAAACTGATTCTTCCTGAATATTGAAGAATGCTAATTATTTCCTCCTTTGATGGCCTTCCTGTCCTACCATTTTAGTGCAGAAAGCTAGAGTATGCTTCCAACCCCTTCTCTCAAATAGTAACGTCTTTAAAGGTCCCCTAACAAGGTAAGTTAACACAAAACAAAGGAGCATAGCTGAAGTTCATGGTTTTTCATTTTTATTCTATTTTATTTCAAAGAAAGTCTTGAATCATCATGATAAAATCTCTGAGAGAAATGAAAACAAGAAAAACAATGTTCAAATGAGAATAGACTAAAAAAGAGAAAGGAAAACAGACTTGGTAAATGGGGGAGAAATGTATTACAAATACAGGAAGTTTTCCCATAGATGTTAATTGCTTCAAGTCCCATAGAAACAACAGGCAGACTGAATTAGTGCTTGGAGGAAAATCCTTTAGTTATCAAGTTGAGTAAATGTTTAGTTTCTTTTTTTTTTTTTTAAGTGTTAGTAAGAGGAAGGAAACAATATTGGCTGTGTGCCAACAATAACACCTACAACATACATCCTCCATTATCACGGCTCTTAAGAGATGAGAAACTGAGGAACAACAGGGAATTCCTTTTTGTAGAAATGTCTTGCAATTACTTTAAACTTGAATTAGTTTCATAAAAACAAATGAGTCTGAGTTCTTACATCTGCCAATAATTTTCACAGTTTACTGTAAGAGCAATATAGTTTTCATTTGGACTTTGAGGAGAGAAAGTCATGTGACTCATGAAGCTGAGCCATGGATACACAAAAATTGAATTTCTGACTTTAAATTATTACCCAAAATCTCTTTTTCCTGTTTATAACCTGGAAAATAATACTTTCATTACCTTTAAAGTTGTGTTAAATTCAGATTTCTCAACTTGGTAAGATTAAGAATTTGTGTATAAAAATACAGAAACAAATTCATTCTTGATGTCTTTTGTTGTTGTTTTAATAGCTTGGAAATTACTTTAGAATGTTTATTATCCCATTCATTGAGATGCAAATAAAAACAATGTTTTGTTTTTTTTTACACTTAAGATGACTAGCAGTATGTTTTCTTTACCAGAGCATCTTTTATCACTGTTAAATTTTGTAATTTGCTTTATGTATTCCTTTTGTTTTTGCCAAATGACAAGAAATATGCAGTCTTAGTATAACAAAGTACTAATGCATAAAATAGAAATGCCATTGTACAAAACAGAAATCAATAAAAATTCAATGTGCTTAAAAGTCATTTCAGAGGGAACACCGAATGAAACGTTTTTATTACTATCCATCAAAATTATTTCCAAGGGTTAAATTAAGCCAGGGAACTGATTTAGATATAGAACAAGCAGTTTCAAAGGCAAGAGACCTCCACTGCAAAAAAACAAATCATCTCATTACAGCTGTAAAAACAAACTGGCATGGTAAGGAAGCTATTATTTCAGTAACAACTAATTCTATTACAACCAACAGAATTTTAGTAATAATATATACCTATATTATTTCTCTAATCTTTAATCTTTTTTTCAAGAATATATAGTAGATGGATATTTGGGAGAACATTACAGTTATGTTTGCATGATCTGATTTAAAATATAGGCAAAGCAACATAACCAAAATTCACTTTGAGGGGAAGGGTACAAACTGAAGAGTTAGGCATTCTCCAGGAAACTGACACCAAAGTGCCAGGAGAGTCTGTCATGCCTCCCAATCAAGAGACATGACAGTTATTAAGATGCCAAGCACAAAGATAACCACTAGTCCATTCAAACAGGAGCACCAACTTTCCAAGGACATAAGGACTTAACTTACAGTTAAGCTCTTCTCACAAGGGCGATGCTAAGCAGGCCGTGGATCAGCAGGGATTTATTAATGATGATTAATGTTTCCCTAAAACCTCACTTGGGGAGACCAGTTGGTGTGTAAATGTTTACATGAACCAATAATTTTCAATATTAACTTTAAAGACACTTTCAGTAACACCTCATTTATCTGACAGGATCAGGAAAGGGGGCCATCAGGGAATGGATATAACTAGCTATCCTAGAAAACTGAAGCTTTCATCTTGAAGCAACAGAAACAGCTTAATTTAAACCACTCGTATTGCTTTTTTTCCTCTGAAATATCAATAATTGCTGTGCCTTCAACTAATAAAACGCAGAGTAACATAACCTACCCTAATGACCCAGAGGTTATCTTAGTAAAAACAAAATCAAGATGTCCCCAGGAGCTCAGGAGTATTTAGTACTCATCACCCTATAATAAATGATGTTTCTGCTTTCCTTTGACTCTCATTGATATGGATGGGCCTCACTATTATCTTTTGACTTTCACTTGTGGAACTTTCACTTGTATCTCTACTTGCATACACATATTCACACTCCTTTTGAATTGTCTTACTATGTTACCGTGGAAAGCCAACTGACCAATATTTCCAGATACATGCATAAAATAAGAGAACCTCAGAAAATGTTAAGACAACTCTGATATTTTGGGGTATTTACTTAGTAGAAAGGCCTTTTGCTTATTTTTGGATTTTCGTCTATATTTTAGAAATTAAACTGATCAGAAAAGTGAGATATTGCATTTTACTATATAAAAATTTTAGCCACTTCCCTTAACACTAAATAATAGGTGAAGATCTTTGTCAATAATGTTCATCACCATAAATTTCCTTATATATCCTGCATTTATTTGCATTCTTAAAC